TTTCACGGTCAGGGCGGCTAGGGTCTGGAACCAACTTCCAAGGGAGGTGGTGCAGGCTCCTACCCTGGGGGTTTTTAAGAAGAGGTTAGATGAACACCTTGCTGGGGTCGTTTGACCCCAGTACTCTTTCCTGCCATGGCAGGGGGTCGGACTACGTGATCTTCTCAAGTCCCTTCCGACCCTAGAAACTATGAAACTGTTATCAATTCCATCTCTTCATCCCTCCCTGGACTAAATAATCCCAATTCTTCCAAACTTTCCTCATATGATTTTTTAGACTGGTTCTCACTCTTACTGCTCTTCTCTGGACCCTCTCCAGCTTGTACACATCTATTTTACAGTGTGGTGCCCAAACCAGGACGCAGGATTGCCAGGGAGGCCTCATGACATTCCTGCTACAATATCCCACTAAGCTGTTGGCTTTCTTGAAACAATATTCCATTGTTAGCTCCTGTTCAGCTTTTCATCTGGTGTAATTCATACATCCTTTTCTGTAGTACTGTAGTCAGCCAGTCATTCCACAGTTTGCATTTACTCATTTAATTATTCCTCCCTGTGTGTACAGTTTGCACTTATTGCATTTCCTTCCATCTCAGACCATTTTCCCAAAGTATCAGGGTCATTTTTGAATCCTAGTTCTGTCTCCAAGGAACTAGACTTGACTGCCTGGGAGGTCCCTTCCAGTCCTACCCTGGACCACCCAGGATCCTGATGCTAGGATTGACTGGGTCTCTTGAGGCTCATCACGCTGCAGACTGCCACTCCTCTAGATTTGGGGGGAAAGCCACTGGAGGCGTTTTCAAGGTGAGTTCTCAGATCTGCTGTCATTGCACCATGGAGAAAAAGAAATGAATCCCCGGCACAGGGTGACATTACACATGGTTTAAACAAGGTGAAAGATGGTTCTGAATCAGCACACTTAAAGGTAGGAGCTGACTCCTAAGCTCTGGGATCCTAAATAAGAAATCAGTACTCAGTTTTGTGGAAAGTTGCAGCAAACATCAAAGTGTATTATGAGCAGGAGCTGTACAGATGGGAGTAAAACAGCTGTGTGTACAGCCCAGGAACCATCCTAATGGCAACAGAACAAAATTGTGATGACCTGTTCCCTAAAAATAATGATAAAATAGATTAGAATAGATGAGATTAGGCCAGATCACTCGGGGCAGGCACTGGGATTTGCATTTTACTGTTTGGCTCAAAGCAGCATGTAGCTTTGCTGGCTGGGAACCCAGCAGCACCTTCTGCTTGGCACACAATGGCATCCTGGGATCAGAGGATGTGATCAGACTTGTTCAAAATGTACTTGGGGGTTGGATTACCCATTACTAATGTTGGGGCTGTCTTGCGCCTTGTCTAGTCATCTGCACTCATGCAAAAGAACTCTAAAATGCTCTAAACCAGTTCTGAATGCTAGGGTTTTACAGCCTCTTGAATTGTTACAAGTTACTGTGCGAGGGACAAGACTGTGGAGGATGAGGCCCGGTCTCTGGTGCATATAATACCTCTTCTGGTTCCATGAATCAACTGCCACCTGAGCAGGCTCATCATATGTAGGCAATTTAATCTTGGGCTTGCTCAGGAACTCACTGTTTTGAATATTTACAGCTCTTCTATTATTTATAGGGTGTGCTTAACTGAAGCCTATGCTATTGCTCTTGCTCTTTGACTAGAAGAGGAGATAATATGCTACCTATCTGAGTTTTCATGAGTAATCATTAGCATTTTAAATCAGACGGCTTTGGAGATCCAAAATAACTACGAACAAATAAAAAAGCCCATTAAAATGTCCAGTGTTTTCATGGTGAGTGCAACCAAGATCTTATGATGATCGATATTATGATGGAAACATAAAAAAATTACACTAGGAAATGGTTGCAACGTAAGAGTGGTGCTGTAGCCACGATGGAACAGAAATTATGCAAGAGGCAAGGATTTCTTAGGGTGATACCTTTTATTGGACTGATTATGTAATTAGGATAGAGTTAAACAAGCTTTTGCAAGCAAGACATTCTTCATCAGGTTGGGCTGCTAAGAAGTGGATTGGACGTGTGCAGTGTTACAGGAAATGAAGATGTGACAGTTGTTTTCAGGCTTCGTAGTTTGAAGCCAGAAAATTTGAGCTACACATGTTGTAGACAGAAATGGCTGCTGAATGAGTAGATTATGAGACAAGTAGTCCAGAATGCTTTAAAGAGCAGGTGAATACACACAGCTCACACAGACCACTAGTGGGATGCATTACAGCACTCGTATTTTCGACCAATGGTGCAGAATTTGCCCTTTCTCACCAGACTATTTTGATTAATTTTCCATTTTTTCCCATGGAAGTTGCCTTGATGTTTAGCAATATATTATAGCACCAGATATGGATTTGGGGAGCTGACAAATGTAGCAAACACAAAATACACGTCATGTGCTTGGTAGGAAATAGTTTCTGTGATTTTTTTTTTTCTGGTACTAAAACCCACTTCCAGAAATTCCCCCAACTCCATGCTTTTCCCTCCCGCTCCTCAAGAGAGAAACAAGAATATGTTCCTTCTAGAAGTACATGGACAACTAGGTTTTGCAATGGCAGGTTTATTGAAAGTGCTTCCCATTGCAAACGTTACACACCCAGCAGATTTTATTTTAACTGAAGGGTTCAGTAGATAGCTGAAAGAGAGACAACATTCAATAGAGTCCAACCACTGTATAATGAATAATAACAGGCCAGTTTCCACAGCTAACTCCCCACGGAGCCGAACTATTAGTCATCTGTACTGGATTTCAGTCTCTGTTTAGTCTGCCCTTGGAATGAAGCATATTGTTCAAGAGCTTTGAGCATCAAATTTACACATATATACAGTACAAGAGCCTACAAGTTTAAGGAGAGAATATATGAGCACTCTTTAGCACCAGCGTGGGTATGTGTGTGTGTGCGAGGGCTGACGTGGCTCTGCCGCTGTGGCTATGAGACTGACTCCAGTGCAGTTGGATTTTTAAAACACGGATGCATGAATCTGGCACTTGGATTACAAACTGTCCTTTGCAGGAGTCCAGGCATCTTTGTACTAGACCGTGCAGTTTGATACCGGTCTTCAAAGTGTGTCCACCTGCCTTACTTTTTTAATGCTTCCCTGCTAGGATACAGATTTCACTCCATTTTCAGTTTGCAGCATTATGAATAATAAAAGAATTGCCTTGAGAGACTAGGAAATCAGTGCAGTTTTCTAAGTGTTATTCTCAATCCGAGTGTGACCTCCTTTGTTTAGGGACTAGAAGAAGTAGCGTCAGTCTGTTTTCTGAAATACTGTCACGTACCAAGCAATCTATACACGTCGTGGTCACAATTAATGAGCTGCACACACAAAAAAAGGCTTTTGTTCGAAAATGAAAAAGGGTCAAAATAAAAAATTTACAAAAAGAGCAAAGGTGTGTCACAATACTATGCTGGAATCAAAACACTG